GGACTGGGAGAAAAATTATAAGAGGAAGAGGTAGAAACGAAGTTCTTTTGTGTTGGTCCAACTGAGATGAGATCCGTAGGCCTTACCCTGCACCCATCTGATTATTCCCCAGGGATGAGGCTACGTGGAATGTCACCAGACATCAACATCAAAATGCGGGCGACTCCGGGTTCATCCTAGCCGGGATATAAATAGGAGGCTGATTTAGAGAATGAAGAACCGATTCTGATGGTTGTTTCTATCTAACAAATGGTGAATCCATTTTAATAATGATAAACGCAAAATCAAAATTTTTTCCTAATTTTACTAGTGCAGCATGCATTCTCAAATTGAAAGGATGTATTTCTGATTTTACAATCTGTCTTGCTTTATCTAATTGTTCAACCTAGAAAACAAAGATTGCTTGTCATTCAAATGGAAGACATATATATGGAATAAAGTAAAATATAATTTGATACAGTAGCATTCACTTGTAAATTTATGACCAAATGTGAAGATGCATCTTAGGATGATGTTGTTTGCGAAATGAAAAAAAAGCATATTATAATTGAAACAAGTAAGATCCAATTTATCCTATTGATTCAAAAAAGGCTTTTGTGTAACCCATTTGAGTAATAATTCAATATCACGAAGTAATTCTACATTAAAAGAATGTGATCTTATTCATTAGAAAAGTCATATTATTTTAGTTATAGCCCTTATACTTATACTATCTACAAATTTTAATCCCTCTAATAGTAATTATTCTATTGTAAGTTATAATGAAGTAATCATAATATTTGCAATCATTTTAATAATTTTTATAGGATTTGATCTAGATTATGGATATGGAAATGACTCATTATAATCCATTTATAGAGATATCTCTAATTGTGATTAAAATGTAGCCATTCATTAATCATCAATTTGTTTTTACACAAGTATATTTATTCCAATCAATTCTCAGTATGCTATAGAAAGAATTGGAGGAATTTAAGTTCATTTATTATGACAAGAAGATTATATGTTGATTAACAATAAACATATTTAACTTAATAACAATTTAAACATAAATCAGAACATTTAAGTTTACAATTGATTAATTTTATAAAGTACGACTAATAATGTAACTAAATTTAAGAAAACTCACCTAAAAATACTTTAAAAAACTTTGATGAAGATTAGCCGTCAAATAATTTGAATCAAATTTATTTGATAAAATATGGAAATAGAATAATTGAAGGATTTGAATTATGTGGTGATTAAAATCTTATCAATGATGATGATTGTAATAATCTTTGTGAACTTTCTTTTAATCTACATTTTGAAATATCCATACCTGGTTTTTAAGTTAAATGTGAATTGGATGGATTATAGGAAATTTGACATGTCAATCTATCTGCAGAGATACCTAAAATGCACTCAGGATTGTAAATTTTTGAGAAAGGTGAATGCTTAGATATTAATTAGAATTATTAATGGATGAATATAACTAATGCAAATCATCAAATTTGGTAAATATCAAAGATTGTTTAGAACATCTAGTGATGTATCTCTTACTTGTAAGGTTTTTTTGATTTTGAACCTATCACTAGTATTTGTCTAATAGATCTTAAATGAGAAAATTATTGTTCACAACTCAAAATACATTATTCATAATCATGAAGAATAATAGGATAACAATTTTACTAAAAAATTTAATTATAATTCCCTTTATTATCGAATATAAAATCATTCTATTGCAAAGTTAAAAATGATGTAGATGGTAAATATATATTATCGATTCCAAATTATTGGAGACTGTGCTTTAATAATCAGAAGAATATTAAATTATTTAAACATCTTAGTTAAGAAATTAAAGAATCGAATTAAAAAATTATCTCTGAAACTGAAAGCACTGCTAGAGACTGAACAAAATTTTTCGGGTTCAATCCAATAAATACATGATTTGGTTGAGATATAAAATTAATCATACTTGTAAATCATTAATAAAGAAGAATAATAGAAGTATCTTCTTAGTAATAATGAGCATATAAATTATAAATAGAAATATTCAAATTCCTTTTCTTATCGAAGGATCTCTTTTTAATATTTCTGCATGTGGTCTTAAATCTTTATTATAAGTACAGCATCTTTTAATAAAATTTTAACTTCTTTAGATAAATGAATAGGTATTGGTGGAAATTTCAAGTTTTATATAGCTCCTAATAAGCAAGCTAGAGATTGAATTT